CTACTTTGTGCTGTAGTGAGAACTGGGAGAAGGGGTCACTACTCTGTGCTGTAGTGAGAACTGGGAGAGGGGGTCGCTACTTTGTGCTGTAGTGAGAACTGGGAGAGGGGGTCGCTACTTTGTGCTGTAGTGAGAACTGGGAGAGGGGGTTGCTACTTTGTGCTGTAGTGAGAACTGGGAGAGAGGCTTGATACTTTGTGCTGTAGTGAGAACCGGGAGAGGGGGGCGCTACTCTGTGCTGTAGTGAGAACTGGGAGAGGGGGGTCGCTACTCTGTGCTGTAGTGAGAACTGGGAGAGGGGGGGTCCCTACTTTGTGCTGTAGTGAGAACTGGGAGGGGGTTGCTACTTTGTGCTGTAGTGAGAACTGGGAGAGGGGGTCGCTACTTTGTGCTGTAGTGAGAACTGGGAGAGAGGCTTGGTACTCTGTGCTGTAGTGAGAACTGGGAGAGGGGGTCGCTATAGCTACTTTGTGCTATAGTGAGAACTGGGAGAGGGGGTCACTACTCTGCTGTAGTGAGAACTGGGAGGGGGGTCACTACTTTGTGCTATAGTGAGAACTGGGAGAGGAGGTCGCTACTTTCTGCTGTAGTGAGAACTGGGAGAGGGGGTCGCTACTTTGTGCTATAGTGAGAACTGGGAGAGGGGGTCTCTACTTTGTGCTGTAGTGAGAACTGGGAGAGGGGGTCGCTACTCTGTGCTGTAGTGAGAACTGGGAGAGGGGGTCGCTACTTTCTGCTGTAGTGAGAACTGGGAGGGGGGTCGGTACTTTGTGCTGTAGTGAGAACTGGGAGAGGGGTCGCTACTCTGTGCTGTAGTGAGAACTGGGAGAGGGGGTCGCTACTTTCTGCTGTAGTGAGAACTGGGAGGGGGCTCGGTACTTTGTGCTGTAGTGAGAACTGGGGGGAGTCGCTACTTTGTGCTGTAGTTAGAACTGGGGGGGTCGGTACTTTCTGCTATAGTGAGAACTGGGAGAGGGGGCTCGGTACTTTGTGCTGTAGTGAGAACTGGGAGAGGAGGTCTATACTTTCTGCTGTAGTGAGAACTTACATTCCAACAGAATGACACAGGAGCAGTGTCAGTGCAACATGGGCAATTTTTAGTTAGAGTCATACTAAAAAGGGAGCTAGTAAAAATTATTCTTTTTGTTCTTAAGACTAAAATTAAAATTTCACAAAAAGTTCTAGGTAGGTTGTACTTTAAAATGGCCAATGAACCTCCATTACCGACTTTCTCCTGACATTGACTACCTCCTTAAGTTGACCTAATTTTCACAGACTGGACGTGTACCACATGTGTGCATCAGCACAGTAGGCCTGGGTTCTGTGCTGACCACCTCTGTGTGTTGACCAGCTGTTACAGTCTCCTGGGTGGTCATTTATAGAGGGTCTGCTGTGTATGGGAAAGCTTTAGCTGGTCTGAACAAGTACTGTAGGCCTCTGTTCTTGAAAAGACTAAACCATAATTTTGTTGTTTAATTTTGCTTTCAACGAAAGATTAAACTGGTGTTGGTGTTCAAGTAACCAAATACTGGGGAAGATATTGTTTTACATTATTTTATTCTATTATGAAAAATAAAACATTACTGAAGAATTTGGGGAAAAGGATTTAAGAAAATCAATAACACTACTTCACATTTTGCATATTCTCTTTAAGTATTTTTATATAATTTGTATTTCTGGTACTTTTCATGAGAATACATGAAATTTTTTAATCTTATCTTTTTAAATTGAAAAATATAAACTGATTTAATATGTTGCTCATAGAAGAATTTGACTTATGTGAATTCACCATCATAACTGGGATTGAAAAAAGTAACAAGAGAACTCTGCATCTTTAAATATGAAATTAATACTGTAATATCTATTACTCTTTCACTAATGCCAATATCCCTGTATTCTGAATCTTTACCCTTTACATAAAGTGAGAAGTTGGAAATTTAGAAAATAATATATTGATATTGAATTTGAGGGTAACATTAAGAAAGGCCAAAAAATTAACTTTGTGGTCTTGTGACTGAGTTTTGTCTTTTGTCTTTGTTTTGCTTTATTTTTGTATCAGAGATGATCGTTGACCATCAAATTGAGACAGGCCTGTTGAAACCTGACCTTAAGGATAAGGTGACCTACACTTTGCTCCGGAAACACCGGCATCAAACCAAGAAATCCAACCTCCGGTCCCTGGCTGACATTGGGAAGACGGTCTCCAGTGCGAGCAGGATGTTCACCAGCCCCGATAATGGTAATGGGCCTGCTCTCTAGCCTGTCTCACTCACCTCTGCTGCATCTCTTGTTATTTTGTTCAGCTCCTCTTCATATTGCTTCTTTTCTCAAATTCATAGCTCATAGCCATTTCATGACTACAGATTTTACTCCTGGCCAGGCTTGCAGTCCTGCTGGGGAGACTCCCAGTGGCTGCTGTGGGCGGCCCGCACCATGTGCCCTGTGAGCTCCCTGCACGTCTGTCCCACCTGACTGAGAACAGCCTGGGATGGCTCTCGGACGAGACAGCTGAGTCTGTCTGATGTGCCACCAAGCTCCAGGATTATTGAACACGTCAGGAATAGGGTGGTTTGCCACAATTGGGAGAATAGTAAGGTGTGTGTGATAAATACCTTGAGATCTCAGGTTGCAGAGTGCTCGCTGGGTGTCTGGGAGGGGCCCTGCCTAGAGAAATGATCATTTCATCAAAGTAGGACTCACTGTTATTTTTACCACTTTTAAAACAACCAAGTGCTCTTGATATATAATAATGATTGTCAGATATGAGAATAAATTATCCAAGGTGGGATATTAACCCCGATACTTTACAGTAGGAAGGGGCTACATCCTTTATTACACGTACCAGGGTTTCCTGTAAAGTGTCTGTCTTCTGTAGGGGCATCTTTGTTTCAGGTAAGTTTCATGGTTGGGAGCATCTGGGAAGAGAGGGGTCGGTTTCCACAGAGTGTGGGAAGGGAAGGGGGGTGGGAGGAGCTGCTGAGCGCTGGGCCGGGGAGCTCGGTCGAGACGCCCACCCACCCCAGTCTCTATTAGTATTAAGAAACATGAGTAAAAGAAGGGATTTTAATACACTGTCCTCAGCTACACTTTCAGAATGGAAGAGGAGGCTCTCATGAATCGTGTGGACTGAATTTTAACTCTGGCACTTTGTTTCTGGATATGAAGGTTTTTGATTTGATGGTTGGCTGAGAGAAAACTGAATATTAGCCAACTTTTGCTTTTTTTTTTAAAGCAAAACTGGTTATAAACAAATAACTAAAATAAAATGATGTTTATAAAAGTATTCACAAAAAAGAAAATCAAATCTAAAACTTTTCCACCAGCATTTGATGGGGTCTGCTATTAACTGGAATATTGTTGCTGACAGAAAATGTTTTGGTTTTTGTGTCTCTTCTTTTTTTTTTTTTTAATTGTGTTTTTGAAGAAAGGAGTTGTTTGTTGAAGGTCTGGAAAGGCTATCAGATGAATAGTTTGTTATAAACAATATCACAAATATTTTATTTCAAACAACAGCCTACATTCTTAAAATTATGGCAATTAAAAGTTGAGGCCCCTCTTTTCTATCTGATTTAATAAACCTCTTATATAAAATGAAATTCTAATATTTGGAGATGTTTTTTATCATGAAGTTGGTGGTAGTATAGAGAAGTGAGAAAGTGCGTTGTTGTGGAAGATTGCTGTATTTGCAGAGAACACAGGAGTGGGCATGGCCGTCAGGAGCCTTCCCGCCTGCGTGGTAAGCCTCACTTCCGTGGAGCTGCAGGAGTGTAGAGATGAGGAACCGTGGGCCTTGGAGGCCTAGATCTCTTGCTTTAGGAGAAAGTATTTGGATGTGGAGTACAGCCATGGAGTTGACAGCACTTGCCAGCCACCCCTCTGTCCCAGCAGTAGGTCTCTGCTTCAGAGGAGAGTGGCATTACCTTCCTCATGCACCTGTCATGGGGACATCAAAGGGCCACAGCTCCTTTGCAGCTCTGCGGTGGGTCAGCTCACACCTGACACCTGGAGCACCATTGGGCCTTTCTAAATGTGTTATCATTGGCATTAGTGTACCAAATCCCTCAGGGGTAAGATGTGGCTTTGAGAGATCCTATAATAACGAAATTTCAAACGCCTCCAAGGTACTTTACTATAAGTTATCAGAATAAGAGGTGTTTATTCTTAACTTGCAAGTTTACACAGTTACCTTTGTATCTTAGGATTTAATTACTAAATATGTTTAACAAATATGAAATGTTCTTAGGACATATTTTGAAAATAAAGAATCATAGAACTACTATAAATAGAATTATTGCTACTGTTTTCATAAACCAGAATCTTACACCTATTATAGTTGAAGCTAGATTCTAAAATCTTCCGGTAAAACCTAGATGAATTTGAGTCACTTTAGTCTTCTCTTGTCAGCTGGAAAATGGACTTGGCGACATTGCCAGGTTTGGTTACACTATCAACAGATAATGAATAGCTGAAGTTGGCAGAGGTGACTTCAGAGTTGAAAACGGTTTTGTTTCCCGCTGGTGTACTCTTCTCCACTCACAAGAACCAGCTGTGATCAGGGACGTTGCAAGCTGGTTGTTACATACCCATACTATTAAAAAGTAAATTATATGGGGTGGCGCCTGTGGCTCAAAGGAGTAGGGTGCTGACCCCATATGCCGGAGGTGGTGGGTTCAAACCCAGCCCCGGCCAAAAACTCCAAAAAAAAAAAGAAAAAGTAAAGTAAATTATATAAACATGGAGCTAAATAAGTATCTTAGACACAAATACAAAACTCAAAATTTGTTGCTTTCTACTTAGTTCACTATATTTTACTCTGACCAATGCCCTTAAGGTCATTTTCACGTCTTGTGTCTATTGGGTGGAAATGCTGTAAAATGTGAGATCTGCTCTCAGTGGCCATCAGTTGGTGGCTTGAAATCAGCCACGGGGGTAGTATTTATACCACAGAAACAGGCAAGTGCTGGGGATCATTGCTTAATTAATTAATTAATTAGTTTATTTGGTCAATTGTCTCTAGACTTTAAAAAGTGCTGGAGAAAATGCCAGTGAAGCAGATTGGACTCAGAAGAGTGGTGCCTATAGCTGCTGAAACATGAATCGCAGAAAAAATGGAAGAAATTTTTTTTCTGATAATCAAAAACTGTTACTCAGTTCAGTAAAAGTTACCCGCATTATTGACAGATGAGTGAGGTCTGATAAATGTCTTCTTTGTTTCACTGTTTCTTCTTAACATACGTGGTAATGTTAATCGACACGGGTGTTAGAATTAACTCACTTGCTAGCTGCAGCGGTAAGTCAGCCACTTGAGGCAGGTTCTCCCTCGTGTGCTGGCACACCACTGTTACCCGTAGCTAAAGACATACGTGTTTTTCAAAAGGAGTGAAAACTGTTTTTATTTGTAATATCAGAGAATAATCAGGCTAGCTTCTGAGATGTTAATTTTTATGAAATTGCTCATTGTTTGAAACATTTGTGAATTCTGATGGGAATGTCTGCCAGGTACTAAATTTTAGGCAAGTGGTCTAATTTCTCAGTGTACGAATTACTCGAGGCATTTCTGTAGAGTTAGTGCTGCATGAGGAATTAGTGAGTCTGACTTTTCCTCTGTCGGGTTTCTCTTCTCCTACTCCATAGTTCTCACTGCTGTTTTAAGTTGAACTATCAGAAATTGCCATTTTCATGGGTAAAATCAAATTGATTATCAGCAGTTTCACATGGTTTTATCTCATAATTTTGTTTGAGCTACTTAGTTAATAGTTCTATATAATTTTAGTTTATTATGAAAAAATAATGTTTAAACCTGGGAATTTTCCTTGGTAGTATTTAATAATCCAGAAAGACATATTTAGTTTTCCTAAAAAGTGAAGGTAAAGTTTATATTTAATTGATATTCATTCTCTGAACATTTAGTAAGATGTTTATAACACGGCTAACTGATAGTTCCATTTGAAAGAAATCTTGGTTTATATGATGGTCTGATGTTAAAAAAAAATTATTTCTCATTTAAATGGATACTTTTGATATGTATTTTTTTCCCTAAAGCTTATAAAAGGTGGCTGAGACCTGATTTAAAGATCAAAACCAACAAGGAACCTAAATTTCAGTATTTGCTTTCTCTACCTTGGTGGAAATTTGAGTAAAGGCATCATCAGTTTGTTCTTTTCCCCACTCCGTCATTTTCCCCTAGATCACTGTGGGGACCGGCTCCTCGCCCTCCAGCCCTGGGAGTGAGATGCTTTCTGCCAGGGTTGGCTTTGGCCATCTCACGAGACGCAGAATATGGATTTCATTTTTCTCCAATCCCATTTCATGACCTCAGTTTTTATTAGTGAAATTTCTTTTTTTCAATAGAAAATTGGAAAGGTAATTTAGCACTCAGTTTTGATACCTGCAAAGGAGAGATAATGAAAATTTAATGAGAAAATAGATATAAAGTGTTGAGAACGGCAACTGGCACATGATAATTGCTCTATGCAGGCTATTAAATTATAAACAATATGTTTGAGCATAATTAAGGCAGAATTCTCCTGTTGAGTAGGAGTGGTTTCTGGAGTGGCAGGTTCTTTGTGGCCCACTATTGGAGAAGGTGCTTATGGACAGGTGGGGTGCTGACCAGCTTGCTCTTCTGGGGGTAGGGGGGCGAGGAGGCCCCCTCTCATCACAGCCGCCCAGACCAGGCTGTCCCTTTGCTGGTTGCACTCTCTGTGAGATGGCAGTTGAGGTAGCCCTCCTGCCGCTGTGGAAGGCTGGCTGACAGCTGCTGTGTCGGGCTGGAGAAGGCGGCAGCTCCATGCCGGTGGCCAGCTCCTGGGCTACCACAAGCCTTTCTCCTGGTGCTTGGTGGTCTCTTCTGTGTTTCTAGGAACCAGGGTCTGCCCGTGATTAAACCTCGGGGGTTCATCTTCAGTTCACCGCTGTGCCCTCTTTTACCTCTGTCACATATGAGAACTCTGACCCACTTGCTCCTGCTCCTTGGTGCCTCTGCTCACTCCTGAGCTGGGCTCCTCTACCTAAGGTTGTCCAGCAGGCAGGATGCACCACTCAGCTCTCTCCCACGCTGCTGTTTTGATGTAAGCACATAGCACCTGTGGGTATTATTTGAAAGCATATCCGCTGCTGTTCTCTACAGTAGCATGGATAGTGGTTGGCAGTGGAGATAAAGCACATTTTTTTGTTGTTGTCAGTAGCAATTCTAGGCTCCATGGAAGTGTCTGTGGTGTTTGCTGGGCTGGTGTTGTG